GAGAAGAAAATATATCCATGTCCACAATGTGATCGAAAGTTCCAAACTAAGGAATGTGTTTTGCGACATATAAAGTTTGTACATGAAGATATACGTTCGTTCATTTGCGAAGAGTGTGGTGAGTGTACACGCACGGAAGCTACACTGCGGGAGCACATGCTTATACATACCGACAATACACCCTTTGAATGTGAAATTTGCAGTAAAGGATTCAAAAATCGAGCGCGATTGAAGGTACGTAATGCATTAAAAAGCATGCCAAAGATACTATACAAAATATTTACAGAGACATATGGAGATGCACAGCGATCATAAACATATATGCAGTGAATGTGGTTTAGAATTGAATTCCCGTGTAACCTGGAATCGTCATATGCTTGTTCATTCTGATGAGATGAGGCATAAGTGCGATTATTGTGGACGCGAATTCAAACGAGCGAAAACTTTAAAAACTCACTTATTACTTCATAGTGGCTTAAAACCCTATACATGTGACTTCTGTGACAAAACGTTTGCCAATGGCTCAAATTGTCGTACTCATAAAAAAAAGTCGCATCCCGAAGAATTGGCGGCCCTAGAGGCTTCCGGGGAAAAAAAATTCACCAAAAATATCCCTAAATTAGCGGTTTTAAAGTCAGTGTAAGTAGACAAGTTGAAACAACTACTAAATACTAATTGAATAAAAATCGAAACCATTTCAGTACACGCACAGCTGAGGATCTACTTCCCGTGGTATCCAAACAAAGTGGGAATTTTTCTTTCGGCAGGAAACCGAAAGTCCCATCTAATTGTAAAGATGAAACACAAGATATAGAAAATAAAACATAAGTGCATGTTATAACGAAACTACTTTGCTTAAAAGGTGTATTAGTTTTAGTCTACAAGTTTTTGGAGTATCCAAATAGTTATACTTGGATGAATGCTCAGTGTCGTCAAAACAGATTGGTATACAAACGCTATGGATTATCATCAGCCGTTGATTTATTACTATTAGTGTTAAACTAAAGTTTTAGTTAATTTTTTATTTTGTGTCAGTTTTAAGCTTTTGCCAAAAGCGTGTTTAAAGATTTCAATAATTTTATATTAATACCCTCTTGCAGTTTATAAAAAATTTCTAAAGTAAAGGAAAAAAGAAAAGGAAACACATTTTCCTTAATGGGGATTATTTATTCCCGTTTCTCCAATGTTAAAAATACAACATTGAAGTAATCAAACTCAAATTGTCAAAACATTTGTACATATACCATATATTTGTAAAGAAAGAGTATAAGCAACATAATATTTAATTTTTTTTAAGTATAAAATCTACTATGTCTAACACATTTGAAGATATCAGAAGTAATTTTGCCGATGCTGAATGGCAATTTTGGTGTAGACTCTGTGCTAAAGATGATGTACGAAATATCAATATGTCGCCAGAGCAAAACCAAACTCCAGTTGACACAAACGATACACTTGTAGATTTCATAGCGGAGTTTTTTAAAGTTCATGTAACTATATTCAAAATTAAAATGTATTTAAATAATTGCTGTTTTTGTCATATTTTGTTTAGATACGGCAAAATGAAAATTTACCACATTGGCTTTGTGCACAATGCTTTTCATCGGTATCGGCCTTGTCGAAATTCACAAATCAAGTGAACAGAGTACAAAGTATGTACAATGAAATACAAAGTACCGGACATAGAAAAGCGGAAGATTTCCGGTTTATCCGAGAAAAATATAACTTATTTGGATATGAGTTATTTATGTTTGACATATCGGATACCAAACCATCTATTGAAAATATTTTTGTTGCTGATGCACCAGAAATAATTGAACACCAATCATTGGATAGCATTGTAAAACGTGAAGTAATAACGGATGAATTACAGAGCGGCATCTTTCTTAATGAAGGCGAATATAATAGTGAATTCCAAGATCCCATTGGCGCAGTTGAGAATCATACTAACGAAGTAGGTGGTCTTGAATTCCCAAGTAACAGCATAAACGACAGTAAAACAGAAGCAACTAGCAAAGTATATAGCAAACTTCATCGACTGGAAAGGCGTAAAAGTTCTTCCGTTGAGGAGTTGAATGTAAACAAACACTTTTGTATCAAATGCTCACTACATTTCAAAAGCAGGAACTATTATCTTATACATATGAGGAAAAAACATGGTGTTGAAACACCATCTAGTAGCATTTCTTGTCCACAATGTTCCAGAACTTTTAAATCTAAATTTAATTTAAAACGACACGTAAAGATACATCGACCTGTAGCGGAGAAGAAAATATATCCATGTCCACAATGTGATCGAAAATTCCAAACGAAAGATTATGTATTTCGACATATTAAGTTTGTGCATGAAGAAATTCGCCCGTTCATTTGCGAAGAATGTGGTGAAGGTACACACACCGAAACTACACTGCGGGAGCACATGCTTAAACATACGGACTATGCCCCTTTTGAATGTGAGATTTGTAAGAAAGGATTTAAAACTCAAGCACGTTTGAAGGTACGTACTGCAAACATTAAAGGGTATGCATAAGATACTATAAAGAATATTTGCAGAATCATATGGAGATGCACAGCGACCATAAACATATATGCAGCGAATGTGGTTTAGAATTGAACTCGCGTATAACCTTGAATCGTCATATGCTTGTCCATTCTGATGAAATGCGTCATAAATGCGATTATTGTGGGCGCGAATTCAAACGAGCGAAAACTTTAAAAACTCACTTAATACTTCACAGCGGCTTAAAACCATATTCATGTGGCTTTTGTGACAAAACATTTGCCAGTGGTTCCAATTGTCGTACTCACAAAAGAAAGTCTCATCCCGAAGAATTGGCGGCCTTAGAGGCTTCCGGAGAAAAGAAATTCACCAAAAATATCCCTAAATTAGCGGTTTTAAAGACAGTGTAAGTAGACAAATTGGAACAACGATTAAAAACTAATTGAATAAAAATTTTAATCATTTCAGTACACGCACAGCTGAGAATCTGCTTCCCGTCGTATCCAAACAAAGTGGAAATTTTTCTTTCGGCAAGAAACCGAAGCCCCCATCTAGTTTTAAAGATGAAACACAACAATATATAGAAAATAAAACATAATGTGTGTTATAACTTAACTATGGTATTTTGCTAAGGGGTTATATACAGTTAGAATAATGAAAAAAGCTAATATTACAGAAATTTTTCAAAAAAACTTTTCAATTTATTGATTTAAAAATTTGTACACATATTATAAAAATTATTTATTTGGAAAGGGTCTACAGCTGATCTTCGGGAGCTCCTCTCAAAAAAGACGTTTTGCGGTGATGGTGATTAATTATTAAAAAATATATTTAAGAAACTCGTGTTAAAATTTGAGACTAATCAGTTTAGTCGATTTCGAGTAATGTTGGTCACCTATTTTTAAAATACCATATTGAGAAAAACGCGTTTAAATGCTGGAATGCAATTTACACAGATACACACACAGATTTTAAGTTACCTGGCCCATATAATTGGACGATGCACTGAAACTTTATATATTTTTTCTTTTCTCTGGGACACTTCATTGTCATAAAAAAAATTGCAGAAAACAAAATGTACGAACTCACAAGCTTACTGCTTGCCTTACCTGCTTATAATGACAATGGTGTAAGGATATTGACCATGGTACAAGGATACTACGGATTATGGCACTTGTACTTCCAGGCACTGTGAAACGCCTTTAGAAATTTCCGTGCAACTTTGAAAGTATTCACCGGAACGATATGAAATTTTCTATGTGTATATATGTATGTACAATAAGAAAATAAAATTAAGAAAAAAAAAAACATTTTTCTGAAAATTCTAACTGTATGTATATAACCCTTTCACTGGTGTATTCATTTTTAATCTACAAGTTTTTGGAGTGTTTGAATAATTATCCTTAGACGAATGTCTTAAAAAAAGACATATATATGTATTCAAAGGCTAGGGGTCATTAGAAGCCGTTGATCTATCACTGTTAACATAATACTCAAGTTTTAGTACATTTTAAATTTTGTATTATTTTATTTTGTTTTAAAATCTTTATATTTATTTCATACAAATTTCCAATGGTATTGGTAAAAAAAGATTAGCAGATTTTCCTTAATGGGGATTTTTTATTCCCGTTTCCCGCAGAATTCTAAATACAACATTGTAGTAATTATACCAAAATTGTCAAAACCTCCTCTACCGTGGTCAAAACATTTGTACCTATACTATATATTATATTTGTCATGAAAAAATACAAGCAACTTAATATTTCACTTCATTAAAAAGTATACAATTTTCTAATATGTCTAACACATTTGAAGATTTCAAAAGTAATTTTGCCGATGCTGAATGGCAATTTTGGTGTAGACTCTGTGCTAAAGACGATGTACGAAATATCAATATATCTCCAGAACAAAACCAAACTACAGTTCACAAACCTGCTGCAGTTATAGATTTCATAGCGGAGTTTTTTGAAGTTCATGTAACAATATACATAATTAAACTGTATTTAAATAATTTCTGTATTTGTTATATTTTGTTTAGATACGGCAAAATGAAAATTTACCACATTGGCTTTGTGCACAATGCTT